TTTTTGGCAAGTCTTGAGGGTTTTTGCTCTATACTCAGGTTATCTTTGCTTTTGTTTAAACACTGGCACAGGATCAGGAACTATCTGGGGTGTCTGTCTTCATAACCCGGAAGGATAAGTGGTCATCGAGACTGACTGACCGACTGATTTTGATTCGATGCTATTTTCGTTCCTCATAACAATGGTCGTTCTCGGAAGTGAATGCCCGCACTGCCGGATAATAGAATAATTCTACGGCCAGTGTGGAAAACGATCCAACACACGTGAACATGTGTATGCAAATCGCGAACTGTGCCACTGCTGAATAGAAGTCGTTCACTCTTCTATACCATCTTTTCAGATATTAGTCACCGATCAGAAAAATACGAAATGCAGTGTTTCGTACAAGGGAAATAGCTAAACAGATAACGCTTTCCTTCTCCTCCAGGAATATAATTGCAAACGGATTAAGCTGCCTACAAGCATTGCAAGTGAAACTGACAATCTATTTCGATCCTACAGTTAGTGAACAAAGAAACTTAATGCATGCATCTTTTCTTAGCCGACCAGAATTTGAATTAATCGCCATAAGTTTAAAATAATAATTTTACGATAACGGAGAAGTTTAAGAAAAATGAATTGCTCTTGCCGAAGCAATTGACAAATGTTCAATTGACAATTGACAAATGTTCAAGTTCTAGATTGACTGGCCAAAGAATCATTTGAGGACAAGGTTTCGATGGACTTTGTCACCGAATCTTGGTATCTGATGTCGAAATTCAAACTCTGACGCAGGACTGAGAACGCTGAAGACACCGCCGGATACATCTGCCTCCGTGACCTCAGAGGATTAGCGATATTCAAAACTAACTGACTGAAATCCATAACGTTGCCTACGTGAGGAAATGAGTTGTTTCTTTCATGAGTTTCTCCATTTTATCATTATAATCGTCAATCGTGGCATCGTTGCTACTGTTAAGGTCATGCATGTTTTCAATAGTACGAACGATTAAGTTTAAGAGTTCGCTGTTCCGAACAACTCTTATGTTAATCGATTGTGAATGTCAGTGGTTTGCGCGCATGTGAAAGCAATTAGAATCATCACAACTTACTTCATCAGCGATATTTATGATTTCTTTCATGCGGGTAAGGATAACTTATTTTATGAAAAACCGATTAGAATACAATTTCTTGGAAGAACGCAATAGGGCTTTAAAATTTCAAAACTTGTGGTGAATCATTTCAAGTAAATATAAACTTATGACATTGTAAGTACTTTGAAAACAACATAAAGCACAGTTTATTTATTAACAACGAAAACACTCGTTCATTTGGATGATTGACCAGTGCCAATGTTTCAATCTGTCCCAGCGCTTTTCTTCAAAACAGAGCTTAGTTGACTTCAGCAGGTAATTTTGTCGTTCGCAGGTGTTATTGCGTTTGAATCCCGAAGGCGAGCTTTTAATGCGTGCTGCCAGTTTAACCAGCCTGCATGTGTTGAAGTGTCATTGGAATTCCTGAGCACTTTAAGATTTCTAGCAGTGATCGCAAATATCAAACCATTTCGAACTTAACTGCTATTTCTGAATTCTGAGGCAGTCAACCTTCGACGCAATTTTCCACCATTAGCACACCTGAAACAGCCAAGGCCAAAAAATCCCATATACAGTCGCACCCGTTAGCTCGTGATCTTGAAAAATGAAATATCATTTCATATAGGATTGCCTGAGAGAATATCAAACAGAGGTTACCAAAGCTGAAACGTCCTTTCAAGGCAGGAAATCAGCTCTTTAAGCATGTGCATAAGAAATCAACAGCACAACTATATAGCGAAAATCGACAGTGAAAAGTCAGACATCTAGGAGTGATATTGAGAGACGATTTGCTATAATCATTTCACTTCTTGTCAAACTCAGAAAGTTCGACGTGCATTGTACTACCTACAGTAACTGATCCGAACGACTGCGTGCACACAACACCCGGAAACAATTCGCCGACGCCTGCGTCCTTCCTCTAGCTACTGTCGTTGGTTCAGTGATAGTTTCATCTCTGACCGCTGTTCATTTCCAGATGGTTAAACTAGTCTCTCGTACCAGTGACACTAGTCAAAAAGCCCTTGCCTTCCATATAGATGCTCAAGTGCTCGTACATTCATGTTTTACTCTTAATCTGCATGTTTGCAACGCGAAAGTTCAATATCGAAATACGTGAGTACCTGTGGAAGAATCAAACTCAATAAAAGAAACATCATTCTATTTGTTACTTCAGCTCTTCATACCACTGAATCAGCTAGAAATTCTTCTCAGGAAATTGTCCGTCCGTTCATCTGGCAGATTTGCAGCTAAGTTGTGTTTATAGGTAGCATGATATGGGAAAAAATATTTTTAATTCCTGTTGCCGGATGCGTATAAAAATTGAACTTTATTTACAGGAGTGAAGTGAGTAGGTTTACAGAGAGAAACCGGGTTAAAGAAGATAGTCTAAAAACGCCAGCCGATGTGACGTTACGCTGGTGAGCTTGACCACAGTTCATTCGTATACATGGAGGTCACTCAGCAAGTCCGCCATCAAACCGCCCAATCGGCAACCGAAGTGAGCGGCAGCACGTGACGCACAGAATGCTCCATGACCGACGCGACTCAAAAGAAATAGAAAAGAAAACGTGACAGTAAAAATTTGCATGACATCGCAGAGGCATAAAATTTGACAAAAATCACAATACAGTCTAAAAGTGAAATGACATGGACGTAATTAAAAACTGGTAAAATTAAGTCTGTGGCACGATGACGATCAAATAGTCAGAGCAGCACCGCTGAATGCTTAAAACACGTGCCAAACGGGCTCACGGTCGGAAGGACACCAGAGTTAAAGAGATCGGCAAGCGACAAATCATCAACACAGCAGCTTCGCCTCGACCGCATCGGCCCAGGGTTCGGGTTTGCACGTCGAAAGTTCTGTACACTTGTCAGGAAAAGTGTTGCCGTTTCGTACGGAGTCCTTCATGAACGCCCATTTGTCGGGACCCTCGCCGGTGCCAGCTTCCTCATTCATCGCAAAGGGCTGGTTTTCAGCGGAAATGCGGTCGTCCGTACGCGCTGTTAAGCAACTTTTGATCGAATGTCCGCTGAAACGTGAACAATACCTGAGCTTTCGTTCATGTACCTGGATAGGACATCGTTGCCCCTCGGAAACAGCTGATCTCTGTCGAGCTTCATCCTAAAAGTGTACGCTTGTAAATCCGAAACAACAGTCCATCGATAGCGGTGCGTACTCATTTTTGATCCTGAAATATTCCTGCATCGATATGTCGGTACCGTGTTCCCAGCGACCGACGTTTTCGGCGCACGACTCTTCGATGTACAAGTACACGTCAGGTTCCTTGTTGGCGAACGAAACGGGTTTCAGCTTAAAAACAATGCAGGGTCTTCAAAATCGAACTGCGTCCGCCAACCGTACCTTCTTTTGTCTACCAGAAGCTTGCAGAAGGCTGCTTTTGCCGGGTATCTCAGAAGCACCTTCGAACTCGTAACGCTTTTCATTTTCACACGTATCGGAACCGGAAGAATCATCGGATAAGCTGCTGAACTCGCGGGTCAGTTTATTTCCTAAATTAAACAAGAAATAACGTTTTCGACAACAACGGTGAAGCCATTTAACCTTTTAAGACCCGTACCAACGAGCCACTGTTATACGAAGCCACCGTGCATGACACCTGTCGCAAGAGATCAAGCGGGTCTGCGGGCGACGAATCTTCACAAGAATTCTATAGCCAAAAAAATACGCAACATTTATGAAACAATATCGAACACTGGTTTGTCATACAATACTAGATCGGATCCAAATGCCAGACAATATACGAACAGTACCGGCAATCGTAACCTTTCGAATAAGGCAAAGTCAGGACATTCAAAGTGGTCTGTAATAATCTCAAATAATCGTATAAACTGTTGGGGCCGAGATATTTAAATTGGTAAACTCCTGAAGCGCTTCAATTTCATATTCCACTTGTAAATCAACTGTGCCATGATAGTTTCTTTTTAACATTCGACTTACGGGCGTTAAGGAAGAAGCCGGCGTTAGCAGTTATGTTGTACACGGTAACCGTCACGGGACAGATCCCACTCGCAATACTATTCACTACCATCTACTTAATCCAGGTCTGCAAGATATTCAATACGATATCTTGAACTGCGCCTTCAGTCTGAAATTCATACGTATTTGTCGTGGTCAGGAATGTTTCAGAGAAGGTCAAGAACAATTGTGAACAGCAAATGTGAAAAGCACACCCCTGGCTAATTCCAACCTTTATAGGGAACCTTCCTCTTCTTCATCTTCCATCGCCGCTTCTCCTTCCGGGTCACGGAGGCAGAGACAGACAGCAATCCCAACGTTCCCGATCCTGTGCCAGAGTCTGAGCTTCGGCAGAAGACATCTGGAGTCAGGAACAGGCTCCTTCCATATATCCGTACCGGGTTAATCTTGGCCGTCCCCTGGACGGTAAAAGTTTAGATTTACTGGCATTTCGAAAAAAGTGATTATCCGGTCAATGTGCGAAGCTAGTGTTTTCTGTCGACATACAGAAGGTGAACAATATCCCGCAAAATTGCCTTGGTCGACGATACTGTAGTGCCGGGAGAAAAATCACGAGAATGACCGCCGAAACGGCTGACGGAATGAATCTCATAATGACATGATGGATCAAATTAAAATTCTTTCCAGACATTCAGTCCAACAAGACAGGAACATAAAGAATTGAATAGTATGACATCACGCTGCCTAAGGTCTGAACATTCCATGGGAACTGATAATAATGTCGGCGGTAGTGGTGATAATGATGACGATGTTGACATGATGATTGTGATGCTGGTGACAATTATGATGATAATAACAACCACTGTC